AGATGGGATATTTTCAGCCATTATTTTTTAAAATAAGCTTTCTCCCCTTTTCTCTTTTCTCCTTCTCTAAATGCCACAATACTTATATTATTTCTCTTTATGGTGTCCCATAACAGCTTTGTTCATTCTTTCTTATTTTTTCCCTCTGACTGGATAATTTCAAATGACCTGTTTTTGAGTTCACGGATTCTTTTTTCTATTTAATAAAGTCTGTTGATGAAGTTCTCTCTTGCATTTTTCATGTATTCATTGTTTTTTTCAGTGCCAGAATTTTTTTTATTATTTCTCTTTATTGAATTTTTCATTTTGCTCATGTATTGTTTTCCTCATTTCTTTGAATTGTTATCTGTGTTCTCTTGTAGCTCACTGAGCATTCTTAAAACAATTATTTTGAATTCTTTGTCAGGCAATTTGTAGATCTCCATTTTGGAGATTCAGTTACTGGAAAATTATTGTGTTCCTTTGGTGGTGTCATGTTTCCTTGGCTTTTCAAGTCCCCTAAAGTCTTGTGTTGTTGTCTTCCCATTTGAAGAAGTCACTCCTTCCAGTCTTTCCTGGCTTTGGGAGAGAAACATGTTCACAAACAATAGGCCTGATTAGAGATTCTGAGACTCTCTCAGATATTTTCTATGGATGTGCCTTCCCTCCTGGGAATAAGGAACAATATTTAAAATCATATGCTTTCTTCTCAATTTCACAGAGTCTAACCAGCTGACCCTGTGTGCACATGATCTGTCTACAAAGGCTTGCACTCACCATTGAGGAGGGCATGCCCACGGAGCTAGCCAACTGCAGAGGGGAAGCAAGGCAATAGGGCATTGGGGGTACCTGTGAGCCAGTTGGGGGAGGTTAGCACAGGCAAGGTGTCCTATGTGAAGGCCTTATGGGAAGGCCTCCTGAAGGAGTCCACAATGTGGTTAGTAGAATACACAGCCCTTTGTTGAGTTTTGATTCCTGGTTGCTGTAAATCCCCTTCATGCTATAAATCCCCTTCTTGCTGTAAATCCCCTTTCTTCACTGCTCTCAGGCTCTCCAAGCCACCCAATTATGCTGATTTCCTCAGTATTCTGGATAGGATGAGACAGAGGTGGACCTCTTGGGCAATATCCTGCACAGTGGAAGAAGTAAGATGCTCACTCACTATGTTCTCACTTTCTCCCATGGAGGAATCATGAGCAGAGGGGATTTCTCCCAGCACTGAGGTGTGCCACATTGTGCAAACAGTAATGTGGGCACATTGGAAATGTTCTTCTTACCATCTTCAATGCATCTATTCTTGGATTTTATAATCCAATAATGTGCTGGTACTTCTTCACTGGATTCCTATGGATGAAAGTTTCTCTCATCCATGAGTGGTTGTCAGAATTAGTGCATTGTGGGGAGATGATGGTAGAAAACCCTTCTTCCTTCATCTTGCTGATGTCACACCTCAATTTCAACCCTTTACACTTTAACCCACTTTGACAAGGTATACAACTTGTGGGAGGAGGCATTAAACAATGAAGTTTGACTTTTTGGTGCGGAAGCTACAAATTCAACACTAACAATAATGCATCATGGCAACAGAACAAATCTCAGATGCTTTAACTGTAGTTGAGATGAGACGAATATACAATTTGCTTTCCTGAACTTAACCAATGTTGAAATGGCTGTTTGCCCCAACTGATGCTTCCCACTTTTTAAAAATAAACGAGATTATTCATCCCCTGCTTCAAGCCAATCAATTAACTCCTCTTTGTGCTTGGAATAAATCCCAAGCTTCTATTCATGGTCCACCTCCCATCCTCACCCTCCTACAATGAACTTCAGGTTCACTTGTTCTCATTGATTCCTCAAACATGGCACATTCTTTGCAACAAAAAGTAAAGATTAAACTCACATTTCCATCTGCCTGAAAGTTTGTTCTCTATTCCTTTCTGTGACTGGTTATTCTTCTTTGTGAAAGCTCTCAGCATAGATGTGTTCACTCTCAGAGCGTACTTTCTAAAGGAAGCCTCCCCACATTAGTTACCAACTATTTTCATGCTTATTTCCTTCATAGAGTTCACCACAATTCATTTTCTTTCTTAAGTAACATTCACCTCACCAATTTCAATGCAAAATCCTCAGGGTAGGAACCTGATATGTCATTAGTATATTTAGTGCCCAGTACACTGCCTGGCATTATAGATACTCAATAAGGATTTGTCAAATATTGCATTGGTGAGAATCCCAAATTCATCTACTTCTCTGGGTCTTACCATTCTTGTCTTTGCAAGATGCTTTATAGCCAGTGAGCTAGTTCACTACTGTTTTCAAAGCCCCCTTGAAAGTATTTGTTTGTCCTGAGAGTAAATGGGCCAGATCATCAAGATTGAAAAATTATCCAGACATTCCAAGCTGCAGTAAAACAGCTTAACAAAATCTCAAAACTCAACTTGATTTTAATACTTTAATATTACAGTATACATGAAGGAAATTTAAAATGTTGCTTTATGTGTATGGTAATTACATATTAAATCCTCAAATCAAGCCACAACTAAGCCAAATACCCAACAGAAATACTTTTTGGAGTATCCAGAGTATTTTGTCCCTGTATTTATACTGTTCTACTAGAGATATATCTAAGTTTAGCAGAAATAATCATATTTTTCTAGTTTCCTGAAAGAATTATTAAGTTTTCTTTTTACATTGAGATTGTTTTAAAATACACAATATGGTGGGTCAAACTTGAAATGTAAAATATGTAAAAATAAAGATCTGCATGCAAATGAACCAAGAGTGATATCTTTTAGTGGTAGAAAGGATGGATACATGCTAAACTTTTAAATTTAGTATAAGTTTTCTTCATCAAATTCATATAATTTCTTTGTTTCTTTGTTTATCTTTTCTTATACTTCAGCTGTCATTGCATTCCACAAATTCATATAATTTCTTACATAACAGGTAATATTAAAATGTTCCTTTTCATAATAAATATTAATGAAATTCATTATGCATTACCAACTTCAATTAAAAATTGAAACAGCAAGTACACATGAAAAGATCAACTCTTTTCAGAAAGAATGGAATACAATACTGAATTTTCAATAATTCAAAATTTACTTTGGTTGCCAATATAGAAATCTATTATACAATCTTGATTATGATTATGTTTGGTTCATATTAAATAATGTACTAAGAATAGTGAAAATCTCCTTGCCTTAGCACTATCAATTTGAGATAGGTAAGAGATCAGAATTATAAGAGAGTAGAAGAAAAAGAAAGGTTCTAAAAGTACAGTAGCCCCCTTATCCACAGTCTTGTTTTCTGCAGTTTCGGTTACCCTTGATCAACTGTCATCCAAAAATATTAAATGAAAAATTCTAGCAATATACAATTCAAAAGCCTTCAATTGCATGCCATTCTGAGTAGCGTGGTGAAATTTTGTGCTGTCTTTCCCCATCCTGCTAAAGACATGAATTATCCCTTTGTTCAGCAAATCCTCTCTGCATATGCCACCTGCCTGTTAGTCACACTATGTTGGTTATTAAATTTACTGTCATGGTATCACAGTGTTTGTGTTTAACTAACCCTTGTTTTACTTAATAATGGCTCCAAGATTACTGATGTTGGCATGTCATTATACTTGTTCTATTTTTATTGTTAGCTATTGTTAATTGCTTACTGTGCCTACTTACAAATTAAACTTTATCATAGGTATGTTTGTACAGGAGAAAAGCATAGTATTTGTAGGATTCCATACTATTCGTGGTTTCAGGCATCCACTGGAGGTCTTCGAATATATCCTCCACAGATACGGGGCGCCTACTATACTTTAATGATCCATTAAGGTAAAACCATTTTCTCTTTCCAAAGCTTAAATATATGTGTATGTCTTTGTTCTCTGAGCTTCTTCTCCACAGCCTACTTAAGTCTTTACCCCTCTTAAAAAACTCTAGCTGCTTTTCTACTTGTTTTTTCTCTACACAATGGTAAACTTCTGAGAATAGAACCACATGTCCCACCCACCTTGGCACACCCTGAAGTGTCTAGTATCACATTCTGCATATACTAAAATGCGTGTCTGTATGTATAAAACAGACAACCAACTGGGATTTTTTTAATGTCCATTTTATGTCCCAGAAGTATGAGTCAATAATAGTAAGTCTTGTATCTGTATAGGGATTACTATTTTTTTCAAAGAACTTTCATAGTTATATTCTTATTTCATTTTCATTACAATAATATGAAATAACAAGAATGATGTTATTACATAGTAGGAAAACAAGGCATGGACAATAAAATGATTTGTCTTAATTCACAAAAACATTGACAGTTCTTAGACTACAATACATATTCCTTGCCTTCTTTTATTTCAGGTTGTTTGTCTTAGATACACTTGAAATGTCTGTCACAATAGGGAAAATCAGGAGCTTTATTTTATAAAAGAAAAAGGAAAAAGAAAGATCAAGCCAGGTGTGATGGTGCATACTGTAGTCCCAGCTATTTGAGAGACTGAGGCAAGAGGATCACTTGAGCCCAGGAGTTCAACGCCAGCCAACCTGGGAAAAAGAGAAGAAGAAAGAAAAGAAAGAAGAAAGAAGAAAGAAAGAAAGAAAAGAAAGAAGAAAAAGAAAAGAAGAAAGAAGAAGAAGAAAAAGAAAGAAAGAAGGGAGGGAGGGAGGGAGAGGGAGGAGGGAGGGAGGAGGGAGGGAGGGGAGGGAGGGAGGGAGGGAGGGGAGGGAAGAGGGGAAGGAAGACCAATTAGCTTTTTAAAAATTTATTATGACTTAATTTTAGTTGAATTAAATTTTAGTTACATTAGGCAGGAAGTAACTGTTAACCCAAATGAACCCATATTTTGTGTTTAACAGAATATTTAACACACATGAGTGCTTTCCATGTGCCGAGGACTTTGCCATTTACTGTGGTAAATGTAACTGAGACCCAGAACAGAATACTCCCCACTCTCTGCTCATCACTAGTGTAGTATAACTAAACATAGCACCACCTTACTAAAAACTACCCTCTTGTCGCAGGCCTTTGTGCAGCTGCATGGCAACTAAATGACCAGAGTGATGTCAAGAACAGTAGTTCTTCCAGGGGCCTGTGACATCAGCACTGCTGATACATTTGTCTCACATGGTATGAGTTGTTTGATTTCCAGCTTGAATAAAATAGTGTAAAGCACAGCAAAAACAATTATTAAAGTTCTGTGAAGCATACTGGAAATAAAGGGTTTATTTTCTTTTCTCATGTTTTTCTACTCCGTTTTATGCACATTTTAAATAAAATGTGCCTTTTTTTTTTATCACAGATCCCAAGGCTAAAATAATGAACAAGCACAGAAAAGGAGGAAGGAGGAGCAGGAGAAAGTCGGAAAGATAGCAAAGTAAAAATGGAGTATACCAAGTTAGTTGTATATAGGAATTGCTTACTAAACAGCAAAATAATAGGATGACTTCAAGTAAGGCTCTCCAGGGTATTTGAAGAATACCATGTGCTCAGAAGGCAGAGATAAAACTGTAGTTCTGATAAGGCTTTTTAAAGAATAGGCTGGATTAGAAAGGACATGATAAATGTCTTTGTTGGGGGTATGACTAATATGATTGTATGACTAATCACAGCAAGAAGTGTATTTTTTAATTCACAAAGGCCTGCAAGCTCCACACTTCTTTTCAGGAACACACAGTACCTGTGGGCAAATTAAGGGGTATAATAGTTGTATGTCCCTTACAGGTGAAGGCCAAGATGCTACATTGCTCCCTGGAAATTCAGCAACAATGCTACTCAAATCCTTTATTCCCCAAATAGAAATGGATAGGTCCAAGGACAGTCCCTCTAACACTGTGCTCCACCTATTTTAACCTGAGACTCTTCAGTTGCTATAATTATCATCTTGAAACAGGACATGCATTCTTGCTATATATAGATAGAGGGATGTGTGTTAGATCAACAGTAGTATTCAATAGTCCTTCACTGTTAAATCACACCCTCTCCTAAAACTCACCAACACCAGACAAACCAGAAACACATTGTTCTAAAAGCTAAGATACACTTTTTTTTTTCCACTTTGAAAAAACCCAGAGTAAAGCCAACTTTCAAAACAGGCAAATGTGGAGATTATTATTAACATTATGAACAGATCATTCTTTCAAATATTTGAGTTACTCAAAGTATGTTTTATTGTGTATGTATAGGTAACTGCTTGAGAAATAGACCTCATAAATACAATAGATGATGGGAGCCATTATCGTTGTGTTGTTATTATCATCATCATCATTTGCTCCCATACTACAGAGGAATAAATTGAATCTCAAATTTACATAATGCATCTAAGGTGACAGAGAGAGTAAGCAGTAAAATAGGACTTGTTCATAGGTCTTTGTCTTCAGTACCATGTTCTCATGCATTTTACCACACAGTCTCTCTCTTTTTTTGTCCTTTCTGTCATGTTAAGCATTATTTTAAATACCATATGGTATAGGTAGATCTATAATAACTGCTATATAAATGAATAAAACAGGCATAAATTCACAAAACAGGCGTAAGTTAAGAGAAGAAATGTCATTGAAATGTACCAAGTCACGTTTTTAACTGTTTGGTTCACATTTTCCCATAAATTTGCATTATACTCTCTATAAAGTTTTATGTGGAATTTTAATATTGTAAGTAAAAAAGTGTCTAAAAATTAAAGTGTTTCATAATACTGGTTGCTTTTTGAGATTTATTTACTGAAAAATTTCATATTAGATTAATAATTATAAAATGTGCACAATGACATAAACTTCATCCTTGACTATTTCAGTTAAGAAATGGTATAGACACAAAATATTTCTCAGAATTTGCTTCTGGGATGGCTGAAATGCACCCTCCTATATCGCAGTTAAGGAGGAATCAAGGCCTCTCGTTTCACATTCATAGTTTTTCAAATTTTGAAACAAAACTGGTAAAGTCACCACAACCCACATATTTATTCATGAACACTGAGTACAAAGAAAAGATCAGAGAACTGAGAAGAAAAACAAAAGCATATAGTGTTCCCAGAAGCCTAGGAAGTGGAGTTTCAGGAAAAAAGAAGAAATCAATGGCAGCAAATCCAACAGAGGGACTATAAAATGAGAAATGAAAGTGAATTTAAAATAAGACATAAGTTTCTGATGTAAATTAGAAACTAAGAGGCCACTGAGATTGTCAAGAGGAGCTGTTTAGTGTGGTGGAACGGACAGAAGCCAGATGGCTTTGTGAATGCTGACAGTGGCCCGGGTCAATCCAAGGCCAGCCATGTAAAAACAAATTTAAGACAGTTTATTTTCATTAGAAAATCAGCATGACTGTAAACTTATCACTTTTTTTTTAGAAAACAATCCTCCTCAATTAAAATTCTAATTTTATGCTTGTTTTACATCTGCTACTCACTGTTTTTAGATTATATGTGCTCAATGACTTGACCTAAAAATTCTTGATCAGATTAGATGTCACTGACTGACCTGTCTCCATCTGTGTATCAGACTGGCAGTTATTAAATGCAAGTCAAATGAAAGACAGTAAATTAGCGTAACAAAAAGATTATATTTAATGAAATCAGACCTGAGTCTAAAAGTTGAAGAATGAGAAATAGTGCGTGTTAAAATTTGTCAGCAGAGGATTAGGGTCTGCCAACGCACAGATTCACAGATTTTTCTCCTGAACAAACACCTTTAAAATATGTTTTAATTCTATTTAAGTGGTTTCATTTTGTTCCTTCAGCAGGAACCCTCCTTGCAGCTGAATTGGCAGATCTTCTGTTTTCATGAGAGCTCTTTGAACCAATCAGGACACAGATAATCTTATTATACCTCTGTGGGCTTGTGTTCCTTTTGATGAGAGTCTAGTGAAGTCATGGGTAATACTTTACCATGTGCCAGGGACTGCTTATGTTTCAGTTGTACAAGGTCAGATCTTAATTTAACCACCAACTGGATATTTAATTTTAGATACACAGAGGAACACATTGGCTCCAGGGCACTTCCTCTGGTTTAGGAAGGCAAGTCCCTGGATGAGAATGACAAGATGATCATTCCAAAAGGTGAGATTATGAAATATTTGATCTGTACTTCACCAAATGGCTTATTGAGCAGTTCAGTATTGGTAATATTTTAAACAGATGGAAATGCAAATTGGGGCAGCTACTCATTTCTTTCTTTCTAATGGATCACCTGTGGGTTTGTCGGTCTAGGGCCTTTTTAAATTACAGAATAAAGCCAGGGTTGTTTTGTTTGTTTATAGAACATCAACTCAATTGCATAATTGTTAAGCATAACAAAAAAAATGTATCATGAGAAAAACAGCTCAAGAATGAATATCCTTATAGGAGTTGTCAATATACTTATTATAGACTCATAGACAGGTCTTAGCTGACCCCTTGTTTCTGAGAAAAAAATGAAATGATTTCTGTGAATAATTAAAATAAATCTCTGTCAAGGTTTTTTCATCACCTGTTGCAAAAGATGAATGCTTTATGTCCAGATAGAAAAATTCCTTAAAATAACTTAGATGAAAAAGAATACATTGAATAAAATTGGAAATTTGCTCCTGCAAATTACGTCACAAAATGTTGAAGTTGGAAAGTCCTCAAAATTTATCTGATACCATCACCCATATGGTTCTAAAATGAACAGTTACCTTTTAAGAAACATTTTACATCTAAATGATTTGATTTTCATGAAATAGTGATATGGACAAGGGAAGTCCTATCACTGCTTTGTGCTGAGAGTGTTAAATTATTGTAATAAAAATTACAACCTTACACTTCAGTTGTTTTCATGGGAATACCTTATTTTCAAATAAAATTTTGCCTAAATTCTTTATATTTCCACTGGAGTTGCTGAATGAGTTTGCTAGGTTTTTCTTTGTTTGTTTGTTTGTTTGTTTGTTTTTGCCTTTAACACAGACTTTATTTTTTTAATATTTTATTTATTTATATTTTAGCATTTTATGGGGGTACAAATGTTTAGGTCACATATATTCCCTTTGCCCCACCTGAGTCAGAGCTTCAACCGTGTCCACATCCCCTGGACGGTGTGCTCAGCACCCATTAGGTGTGAATATACCCAACCCCGCTGCCTTCCCCCCCACCTGCCCGACATCGGGTGAATGTCATTACTATATGTGCACATACGTGTTAAACAGTTAATACCAATTTGATGGGGAGTACAGAGTTTGCTAGTTTTTGCTTAAACCTCTTTTAGAAAACTTTTTCTGAGGCTTTTGAATTTTTAGCTTGCAAAATGAGACCACCCTCTTTTCCTTCATAGCAACCAGACCATCAGTTATAGTACATTGGTTAAGCCTGCGTGGACTCGATTGCCATGTGGCTGGGTTATATCCCACATCTCCACCGCTTGATAGATGTGTGGGCTTAGGGAAATTACCTAAACACTCTGTGCTTCAGTTTCTTCATTTGTGGAGTGGGGGGAAAGTATGTTGTGGAAATTAAATAACAATCTATTTGATGCAATGCCTGTCACAGGTAAACACTCAACAGCTGTTAGTTATAATAATTACCAAATTCAATATAACAACTATTTATTGAGGACTTTCTGTGTGCTTGACTGCATGCTAAACTTTGAAAATGAGGGAAGAGATTTGTGTTGTTTCTGCAGAAAAATCTAAAATACATTATTTAAATGCAGCAAACTCCCTGAGGACGTGGATACTATATGTCTGTGCCTAGCTCCGTTCCTCGAACATAGCAGACATTGAATACATATTTTTGAATGAACGCATAGAATGGTCTGAGAATCCTTAGAGAAAAAATAATAAGAACCGATGCGTCAACTCTCCTCCTTCATCTTTTTGATTAGTAGAGCAGGGGAACGTAGTAAATGCTGTGCATCTGTATTTCAACAAGGAATTTGGCAATATCTCTTGATGATGGTCTTGTTATCAAAAAGGAGAAATTAATACGGATGGTTGTGTCTTTAAGAGGATTTGTAACCGGATAAACAGCTTTTCTCGAAGGGCGCTAACTAATGGATCAATGTCGACCAGGAGACCTCTGTCCTGTGCCAATTTCTGTTCAACATTTATCATTATCAATGGAACATAAGTGCATACGGAAGGCATTCTTATTAAGTCAGCAAGTAGACCAATACTTGGAGAGA